TCCATACTCACTAGGAAGAGGCAGAGCAAAGCCACAGCTGGGTAAACCTGATGCCAAAGCTCCAGCTTTTCCTCAAAATATTTTTTGGTACCAGGAATCAAACTCAGGACCTCGAGTTTGCCAGGTAGGTGCCATGATGCTGGGCTACATCCATGACCCCATGCCCCAAGTTTCTACAAGTGGCGATTCTTTGGGTGATGACTGAATAAAACTTGCGAAGGGTTGGTTCAGGGAAGAAAGAGGAAGCCTGGGTTTTGCATCTTCACTTCCATTTCTCAGTGGCTGCATTTCTTTTCCAGTTTCTGCTCCTCGCCACAGATGTAAATGAGGTTTAGCATTTTGAATCTTCTTTGAAAAGGAGTGAAACTGGGGGTGCGGGGTGCCAGGCACAAGACAGGGACCTCAAGGCACAAGTGTGTGCTGAGAGCACCCAGATATATCAACCCGCTGACCCCAACCTGCTGACTCCCTGCCAACCCTCCCTGACCCCAGCCCTGTGCAGCTGGCCCTGTCACCCTTGTGCAGTCAGGGAAACTGAGGCACACATCAGTGGCTCCATGTTTAGTGCCAGAAAGTGAGTCTCAAGCAAGACCACCTGGCTCTGGAGCCTGGGACAGAAAGCACCAGTCTCCATGTCACACAGATTCATAGTTTGCAAAGCTTCTGATCCAGAGACAAAGCTTGACATGGCCGGCTGGGGAAGATAGATGGGGGCTCCACTCAGACGGTGCAGGGATCCTTAGGAAAGGCATGCAGCTACATGCTGCACTTCTCAGGGCTGCCTCAGGCGCCCGGGCACAGGGAGAAGCGAGCTGCAATCTGCTGGGCAGTCTCTGTACCCATACATGCTGGGATGGAGGGGGGCAGGTGGCTTTGCTCCTGTGTGGTGATGACAGCTGTTGGCAGATCATCTGGTCCCTTCCACTGGACCCCAAAGAGGCATTCTCACCTTTTGCTCCATCCTGCAGTTCCTGCTCGCTCTTTACCAGGTAGGCCAGGTTCAGACTTCTATGCCCACCAGAAATGTGACTGAGTGATGCCAGGCCAGTCTCCATGAGCCAGCATGTCCCTGGGATCTACAATCACCTTCTTTTGGCCATGGCTTCTTACAAAATGTGGGGGATACACCTTCAGTAGATGGTTTCATGACAGGATGCTAGGAAATACTTCATATGGGTGCTGCAGTGGTCATGGCTCCTGTCAAGCCCCACTGTGCCTGTTAAGCTTGATGGTCAAATTGAGTGGCTTGGGTGCTGCTTAGGGCATCAGTAAAGCCCACTTCTGAGTGTTACCAGGTGGGCCATGGAGCTGTGACTGTAGGGCCCATATCTGGTCGCTGGCCCTTTCCTCTCTGGTACTGTTTCCCTGCTCTGCTTGTGGGCCACAATGCACTAAGCACCCGTGGTCCACTATACTTTCCACCGTGATGCTTCCATGTTGACCATGGACTGCATCGTCTAAAACCATGAGCCAAGTAAACCTCTCTTCCTTTAAAGTACGGGTGTCTGGTAATCTGTCTAATACACTCACAGATGTGACATCTTTCCTGACCCCGGGATCAAAGCCCGTTCTACCTCATGGAATCCCCAGAGCATGAAAGATCTCCTTTGCAATGTATCTTCCTCATATCCCAGCATGCGCCGTGGGCAGTGAGTGTGGGTAGCCTCCCCCTGCATATGCTCTGGGAGCATCCCAGAGGAGGGGGACCCTGGCAGGGAGTGGACAGCTGTGAGGAGACTGCTCAGCCTTGGCAGGTTTCTCTGACAGCAGGCCTTGAGTGTGTGGGTGGTGACTGAGCTCTGAAAAGTCTCAGGACCCAGACCACGGGGCTGATGGTGGAGGGCACAGGAAGGACGGACCTTCTCAGCCTTCTTCAGAGCAGCTATGAGCTTCTCAGCTCTTCCATGCAGGAGGTGAGTGTGGGGCTCCGACACAGACCTGAGGCTTTGAGCTCCATCTGTGGCATGACGTCCTCAAAAGGAGACTGCCTGACCCCACCAAGGGCTTCTGGGAACCAGAGTGTCCCACAGACCTGTCACCCTTGTGGGGAGGGAGGACCTAGTGTAGACAGGTGCCCCGAGCAGGGGCTCCCCAGGGCTGTGTCTGGGACAAGTCTTAAATCCACAGAAATGGCGCTTTTCTGACACGACAGGGCAAGGGGGACATCAGGAACTCAAATCACTTTAGTTTGTTTTTAGCCACTCCTGATACCCATCCATTTCCCCTCCCACAGGGATCTGTGAGCAGGGCCCAGGCCAGTGAGACCTGGGCACAGGTCCTGTTTCTAGGATGTGTTAGCAAGTTCAGCAAAAACCCACTGGACTTACGGGGCCTTGACTTCTGTCTGTGACATGACACCAATCTTGTGGGGGACTGTGATGATTAAATGAGATAATGTGGCCCAAGGACTAGAACCAAGCGGACACAGAAGGACAATGGCTCCAGAGAATCCACAGGCCTCAAATCGTGGCCCTGTCCGCTCAGCACTCCGTGTCCCCTGCAGGATCTGGGGACATCAGAGCCATGCTCCAGCTCCTGTGGGTACCTTTCTCACTCCCTTATTCCTGAAACTCAAGTCCTATCATCTGTAGGGAACTGTGGTGCCAACCTGGTTTTGACAGGGTTCACTGGGTGCCTCTGAATACATTATTCAAGCGGAGCATTTGAAAAACATACAGTTTCAGGATGAGAACGTTTAGCATTGCCTCCGGGCCTCAGGTCAAACGCAAATCCCAAGCTCAGCAAACGAATGTTCATAAACGACCCTTTCACAGACTGAATACAAGGGAGTATCTTGCACCAAAACACTGGACATGGGGATACAGCTGGGGATACAGCTCAGCAGCACAGCACCTGCCTGGCAAGCACAGTCGTGAGTTTGATTCTTGTACCAAAAAATGAAGAAAAAAAAAAAAACACTGGAAGTCAGAAAGGCATTTTGATAATGTATATAGTTATATAAATTCTGTAAATATGCTATTAAAAACTTATGAAATGAGATTGTATGCACACAGACATCAACCTTAAAAGAGACCCAAAGTACAACAAAGAATGATCGTGTCACTTAATTGAAGACTTGTAAACATCACTGAACACAGAACAGAAACTTACTGTGACAGAGAAAAATGAAGGAACATATGAAGGGAATCGGTTATGTAGGCATCAATTACTTTGGAACCCCCACAATTCTCTGATGAGGAACCTCAGGCTTGCAAAGCTGACCAGTGATGGCAGAGCGGGCCAGAGCCGGTGACAGATGGATGTCATGAGTTACCTGATCAGTGCTCCTGTCAATCGTGCTATTCAGTCCTGTGCCAGCCTGCCAGGGTCTTCCAGAAGGCCCTCTTGCAGGTCTCAGGTGGGTGCAGTCTGCCCACAGACCTAGGGGCCAACCCTGAGTTTCTTTACTGCCCCCAGCTTGGTATTCAGTGGCATTTAAAACCAGACCTCACAAGTTTGTTTTTTAAGGCTAGAAGTCAATGAACAAATCGGCTATGACAAATCCACACGCATTCACAACAAACACACATCTGATAAGGACACAGGGAAATGATACGCACCCTAGGCTGAGTGGCTAACATTTAAAAACAGCAAAGGAACGGGGGACACTAACACCCTCCACAGTATAACAAAAATGATACTATTTTCCTTTTTTTTTTGGAATGCTGGGCAAAGAGACACTAATGGGCCAAACTCCACCGATACCTTAACAATTTTCTTTTGAGGTATAACAACAATGAAAATTATGATAAAAAAAATGGCTCTGTAACAAGCCATCGTGCAAATGTAGTTTTGTTTTCCAAATTCCTTTTTTTTTTTTCCTTTTTCTGGCCGAGAGGAGGGTTTTCAGCAATGAGACAGGAGTAATTGTGAAAGGAAGGAAAAAAGAGGATGGTACTATAAATCAGCAAAGGTTAATGACCGGGATGTGAAGAAGGGACTTGCTTACAGAAATAGTGTGCAATTTAAAATTTACAAGAGATTTAATGCCACCGCTTGGCAATCGCTAAAATCAACAGCCCAGAAAACAGTGACATTAAGAAAAATATTACAGTTATAATCATCCCCAAATAAGTCAATTAGTGTTAGGGCATGAGCTTGAGATTACGTGACCCATTTGGCTTGCACTTAAGTGAAAAAAAATTTCCCCCTATTATCCCGAGCTCGCTGGATTGTGACCTGTTTTGCATCACACACATTATACACCAGCCTCTCTCCCATGGACCAGGGCTGATGGTGCTGGTTTTTCCCTTGCCTGGCATCAAAATAATTCTGACCCTTGACATTTGTAATCATAAAAAAAAAGGCAATTTATAATTGTGTTGTTCAAATGAAGGTGGGGGAAAAATTCAATCTGCTATTATACAAAAGCAATGACGGCTGTCTTCTGTGGAAAAAAGCAACCCCAGTCAATTTGTGAACTTTGCCACCAGACGACCTTTAGAAACACAACAATATACTGAATTTACAAGCAATAGCAGCCCATGCAAATGGTCCGGGCCGCCCGCCTGCCTCTGGATTAGAGCTGCAGAGAGCATTATGGAGAATGCTTCCACAAAACAAATTAAGACTGTTACTTAAATGTCACGGCACACTATTGTATTTGGCTACAGATCATTACACCTGATACTAACACTTTTAAAAACTGTAATAACTTGGGAAATATTACATTGAGTGCCCGCATGTATAAAGCTAAAGCTAAAGCAAAAGCAAAAAAAAAAAAAAAAATAAAATAAAAAAAAAAAAAAAAAAAGAGAAAATAGGTTTCTGAAGTAATTTAAACATCACTACTCTACGATGAAAAGTAAAGGTCAAAATTTAAGTAAGCTGAAAGGAACATGAATGGTAAAATAAAACACACAAACAAAAAGATGGAAAGACCACAGCGATGAGTCCGCGCACACAATGGGGAGCATGCGGCTGGGCGGTTGAGGTTCCCAGGCTGCAGGTTGGGAGGAAGGGGGAGGGGACAGGGAGGCGGAGGTGAGTGGTGGCATTACCTTCGGTGTTGGTGCTGCTGCTGCTGTATATATTTCGCAGGCTACCAACACGGTTTAGTTTCCATGCTTTGCGTTTGGCTGCATCCCGACAGCAGAGAGGGGAGAGGGGGAGAAGAGAGAAAACAAAAAGAAAAAAAAAAACAAATGAAAAAGGGGAGAAAGGAAATGTCAAAGTAGCCCATGAAGGAGTCTCCGAGCTGCTGGGGTGCACCTGTGGGCGACCCTGGCCTGGCTTGCCATTCCCCTGTGGTCCATGTGGAGGGGCCCAGAAAGGCAGCAGTGCCCTAGGTCTGCACAAAAATCAAAGGTATGCCCAGGCAAAGAAATGCAGGCACCCGCTTCGCAAACGGGGGCCAGTCAAAGCAGGGGTGTATGCTGGCCTTTTCCTTGGGGGCTGCGGCCTCCATTGGGGGAGCTGTGATCCAAGAGCCACGGCCTCTTTCAGGTGGCAGAATCTCAGGAGCATGTCAAACCAAAAGAGACTGGGGATCAGCAGTTTGCACCTACAGGCTGCGGAGGGGAGGTCTTTAAAACTGCGAGCTGCTGAAAAAGGAAGTCGCTTTTACTAGGTCAAAGCTAGGCTTGGCAGTGCCCACAGCAGCCAAGTCCCAGGACATTTGGAGTGGTAGAGGGCAGAGGCCACTGTTTTTCATCCCTGGCAATGTTGTAGGCTAAGGAAGCTCCTAGGAGCCCAAAGAACATATGCATTTGCAGGCTCTCTGCAGGGAGGGAGACAATAGTTACCTACAGGGATGCTGGAGTCTCAGGCTGACAGCAATGACATGCTGGGGTGACACAAATCTCCCCCCCTCCAACCTCCAAGGATACATTTTCCACCCTGTCTGGGCTCCACCCTCCAATCATCAGCTCAGGGATGCCAACACTCGTGACCTGGAAAAGGCTGACCCGAGGACTTCCCTTGGCCCTTCAGGAGACACAGTAGAGAGCCAGTTAAGCTGAGTGGCCCTTGAGCAGCTAAAGATGCAGCCAGACATCAAAGGGCTGGACAGATGGGCCTGCCAGGTGGGAGACACACGGACAGGTTCAGCGATAGTGTCAGCCACTCATGTTCCTGCAGGAGGGTACCATGGAGCCATCGGTTTCTCCAAGGAGACAAACCAGTTGGAATGTGCACTGGGTCCTGTTTGGGTAACTGCTTGTTTAATGTCAGGGAGAAGGAAAGAAGCGGTGACCTGGGGCCATGGTGGTTGCTTGGTGATGCTCAAAAAGTGGCAGCCAGGGGACCCTTGGGCTTCCCATGGCAGGCCCTGGCCCATGGTCCCTTCTCCAGCTCCACTACAGTCCTGATTCAAGATGGTTAACTTTTCTGGCCTGCTGCAGTGATACAGTCCAAATTTTGAACCTTGAGTATCATGGTTTAGATCCTGATTTTGGTCTCTGTGTGTGTAACAAGTTTTGGTGGCCAGAGAGTGACCAGGGGAGTTGACCAGGACTCTGTGATGAGTTCAGCTGCCAACACAAATCTCATTGGGTTTCTTTGTACACATTAGATGTTCTTGTGGCCACAGCACAAAACAGTATATGCATGAAATTCAAACTTTAAAAAGAGCAAATGCAGGCTGGGGGTTTAGCTCAGGTGCACAGGCACCTGCCTGTGAGCATGAGGTCATGAGTTCAATCCCCGGTAATGAAAAACAAAAATAAAAACAAACACAAACAAACAAATACAAAACTGAGCAAAAGCAATTCTGAAACACAGCACTGTCTATAGGTTGCAAATTTTATGTATGTATGTATGTATTTATTTATTTGTACCGGGGATTGAACTGATGACTTTGCACTTGCCAAGCAAATTTTATAATAACCAGAAGAACAAAATCAAATTGGAACTTAGTTTCTTAGTTTAAATCGCTAAAAAGTTCTCTTCATTGAATGCCTAAGAATTACCTCATAGTGTGAGCATCAACACATATTAGGACATGTAATTCCCCAGAGCCAATGATGCAAGCCTTCCTTTCACCATCTGTGGATGCGCATGTGATTTCCTGTGGGTGGGAAAGCCTCTGCATTTCTGCATCTGCAAGGTCTCCTGCCTGTGAGGTCCTCCCTAAGGATCTGCTTCAGGTAACACCGCTCAGGCAAAGGGACCTTTAGGCACTGTCCAAAACAAGTCCCATCTGTTCACAGCACAGGAAACAAGGCTGGTCAACTTGCAGGCATTTATTTTTAGAAACGTCACCAGGCTTTACAGGCATGCACAACAGAGCATTTGTGGAATTAAATGTGCACTTCACTTTCCAACCGCCAATGCTCTGGAGTTTTTAGATTTCACAAGTTCCAGAAAGAGGGAGCACCATAGTTTGAACGCAGGCCCACTCTTCTCTACCTCCTTCTAGAATATTTACATATAAATAGGCAGAATCAGGCGGGGGCACCCCCATGGAAGGGAGCGGGAGCGACGTTCACAGGCAGGAAACCTCTCTCCATGGCTGCCTTATGCCTAGCATTTTTCACACTGCTCTCCCATTACTGTAGGGCACCCTGGTTTTCTATTACCCTATTGATGAAATAATCAATTTTAATGTGTAAAATGTCATGCCTTTTCCTTCCTCTTAAACAAATGGCCATTTTCCGGCTGATACCAAGGTCCTGATATGTGAGTTTGTCTCCCGGGGCATTGATTACTCTAAGCTGCCTTGTTTGGAAGCTTCATGACGAGAAAATACAATCACGTTATCATTGATAACATCTCAGGGAACGCCTGATGCTGCTGTCTGGTTTCACTTCCAGGGGAACTGGGGACACTGTGCCAGAGAAAACTCAGAGCACACCCATCCGCTGGTGTCATGTGTCACCATCATCACATGCCAGTGGTGGGCAGTGTCGTGAGGTCTTGGGCTTTGGCAGCTGGTCAAATCTCTTGATCACATGGGAACCAGCTCAGCAGACTACCCTTCCTGGACAATCTTTATTTTAATTAGTTAAAAAAAAACCCTCTCATGGCCACAGAGTAACTTTTTGACTTTGTCATTAATGTTCTATCTCACAAAAGCTACTGTTCTAATAGAGAAGTCCGGAGCATCATGGGACGAAAAGGCAGTATGGTGCGAGCATTCTGTCAACATTTCCATCCCCCAGTTTTGCTTGCTGGGTAAGCAGGAGCATCTTCTGTACACCTGCTTCCACCCTTTTCAGGCCAACTGAGTAAATGGCACCACTTCTCTGCACCATCTCCAACACCCAAGCACTCAAACACACTGCTCTGTGGACACAAAATCCCTCAGCACTGTCTTCAGTTGGCGTGAGCCAACTACAAAACTGGGAGCTTGATCTCTTCTCACTCTAGCTTACATATTAAACAGAACTTTGCGAACCTCATTCTGCATCAGCAGAAAAGTCAGTGAGAGCTTGGGGAAAGGAAGCCAACGGCAGGAGGATGTTGTCCCCAGAATGGTGCAGAAATATGAGGTGAGGTTAAGTACGAGGCTGCTACATGGCCATCACAGCTACAGGCAGGACAAGTGAACAGAAATGGGCGAGAAATGAAACGAAAAAGAGTGGTCCCATCCATCAGCGTCCTGCTTGGCATATCTCATTAAGGATTAGGAAAATCAAAACTGAAAAACTTGGGGTGACAGTGCAGAGACTCACTCCCAAGTTAAGAAGGCAAAAAGTACACTGCTATGTAATAAAATAAGGGCACTGCTGATTTTCCTTAAAATTAACACAGATTCTTGCAGCTTGCTTGTGGGCATTGGAGCTACTGGCATGCTGAGCTGATAGAGCCATCCCTTCTAGTACCCCCAAATACTCGTGTGGGTCAGGGTACTGATGGCCATGTTTGGTTAGTTATTTCTGCATCACAAGGGGTCGCCAGGTTGATAGATGGGGTGGACAGCACCCTGGCTTAAGCACCTAAAGAAGAAGACTGGTGCGAACCTAATTCACAGAGCATTTCTGGAAGGTGCCAATGACAAATGAGGAATTCTGTGTCTGTGTGGCAGAAGAACGGCACAAGATACTGAATGTCTCGTAATTACTAACAGACAGTCACAATCTCTTGAAAGACAGAGAGAAAAGGGGGAAAATGTGCAAATTATGGCTAAGTTGGAGTAGCTGGAATCATTTAGCGTTAACGGCTCCCAGTGATTACACGTCTCCTTATTTTTGGAAGCCACAGCTTTTCAAGCAGGCTTGTGCAACCACAAGGAACCAAGATATTCAAAAGGGAGTCTTGTGTTTAACCTCAGCTCACAGTTCCACATTTTGGACTGGGACCATTTTTTTTTTTTTAAAGGGGAAATCCCTTAAAGTTTGTTTCTCTAGATGAAGAAAAATTTTTTTACAACAGCATATGAATGCCTGAGAACTAATCAGAGAATGGATCTCCAACACGAGACGAGCTTTTTAGACACGGAGTAAAAATACCCCTCAGTGTGCTGGCATGCTCAAACGAGCAGGCTTTTATCCTAAACTCTTCCTCTGTCATTGTACCAGGAAACCACCGACTTATTAATGTCACCTCTGGTCTCCTCTTGACAGCACTCTTTGTTGATTAAATATTCCTCAGATAGCTGATTAAAAAATGATGCCAACATCATGTGTCCAAGGCTCATCCCCATGTTGGTGGCGCCAGTGTGCATGAATCACTTCCCCGGCATGGACAGAGCGGCCCCGCTCAATGAGGCTCGCTGCAGCCCTCGGAATCAATTATGAGAACTAATGGGCTCTTTGTACCTTCGTGGAGGAAGGGGCTGGGTGGCAGAGGTGTGTCACTCATTTCTAACAATGTCTTGTCTCAGGATGAAACAAATAACTAACTCTCTCCCTTCATGGGCGGTGCGAGCTTGTACCTCTAGGAAAAGTCAAGCCATTGCCTCATCAGATAACACAGTCCCCGTCCACCTCGGAGATGCTCCCTTCTTTTTAAGGAGACCACCGGTTGAAATGCCACAAGTGCAGAGGGCGGCACCTCTGCCCCTCGGCGTGCTGCGTGCTGACCATGGTGCCAGGACTTTTTATAGGAAGCTGCTTCCCAGGAGCCTCCGTGGGCCTGAGCAGACGCCGCTGTGGTTTTGTGTCACTTCCAGTTCAGTGCGACTGGTGTCCCCGTGCTC